GCGGGAGGAGCGGCGGGGCCGGGCCGGGCCGCTGGGCTCCTCCCGGCGGCGAGAGGAGCCTCCCCGGGCCAGCCCGCACGTGGCCGTGGAGAGCAAGGGCCAGGCCGGGGAGGACCCGACGGCCCACAGGTGGAGGAACGCCCCACGAAAGCGAACTTGAATGCATAATTCCTGTATTCTGCACACGAAGAGTTTGCCATCATTACCCTTCCATCAGATCGGGAAGCTGTCATGAGAATTTTACAGCCCCTGCCCCTTAAGCCAGGGGAGTACTGCCAAGGATGCTGCCCCTCGGGGCCGGCGGGGACTTCCCCTCCTCGGTGCTTGCAAGCCCAGCAGAGGATGGAAAGGAGAACAGAAAGTGAATCTCCCACCCGTGTTTACTTCAGTGACAGATTTCCATCGCGGCTGCAGAGCCCCCGCATCCCGTCTTGTCCCAGCCTGCCCAGAGATGAAGGTTTTGTACAAACGAGGCTGCCAGCAGGATCCAGCTCTGCCCAGCAGCCAGCATCAGATCCTCAGGAAGGGCTCGGTGCTCCTGCTGAGGTCCAGGCAGATGCTCTTGGTGGAGACAGCCTTTGGAAGCCTACTGATAGGCCTGTGTGAACATCTGTGGTGGTCACTTGAGCTGGACTGACCCATCTCTGGATATCCAAGGTACAGCCCCCGGGGCACTGAGTAAGTCTTCCACACGTGACTTGGGGAGCAGTTGGACACCTTGGGAACTAACGTCGAGCAAGTTACACATGTCCACAAGAGTGGGAAATGTGGTAGCACAGCACCTGGCCCAGGAAATGAAGTTCTGTAAGCCAAAGCTGCTTGTTTGCTACCTGCAAGGCTTGAACCTTGTGCTGCTCCTCCACTTGGCAGTATTTTGTCTGTCAGGGGCAGGGCAACTCTATCAGAGAGAGAAAAGAAAAAGGAGGGAAGACAAAAAAGGAAAATTAAGGTAGCAAAAGCTTCAGTTAGCTTATGTGAGGACTGGTGCTGAGAAAAATATAGGTGCAATGAGTGCTTGACCTCACTGTGGCAGAAAGAGCAGGCACCCTCAATCAAGCATGCTTTAATAGGGGTAACATGAGGCAGCGACCTTTTGGTGCTAAAGATGCCTGTGGTTTCAACAACAGGAGGGCCTAGATCCTGTAAGGACATGCAGATGGTCACTTGAAGACAGGACTTAAAACTACTGGTGATGCTTTTGCACAAACAACTGGCCATTTCTTTATGGTAGGCTCTGCTCAGATCCATAGTGATGAATGCCTGTCTTCAAAATCTTATAAACCTAAGATAGAACTTCTGCATGAACAGAGAACACCTTCCTACCCCCCATACTATGTGTATGTTTTAGATGATTGTTTCCTCTTTGAGATCTACAAAGACTGTCCATGGGGTTCTCTCAGGTTCATCAGAAGGAAAACCAACAGACATTCAGCTAGAGTAGTAGCTGTTCTCTGCAGCTATAACAAGGAATTCAAAATAAGCCAGAAACAGCTGAACTAATTTTGCCCATGAATTTTAAGTCCAACTTTCAAATAAAAATTCAGTCCTAAAGCATCTGGAAAGATTCAACACAATAATGCTTACTGTCTGCTGTGCCCAATTTCCCCTCGTGTACATTGATTTAATATACATTATTCAGTTAGAACATGTAACAGCTCATATTGAAAAGATCAGCCTCGTACAATACGCATGGCCGTGCCATAGCTATTGCACATTCTTTAAGAACAGTTACTTGCATGCTCTTCATGTAGAAGACAGACCTCCCACCACAATATGCAGTGCAGCATTCTGCATATCTCTATTAGTTTACAAAGCAAAATTGGTTCATAGAAAATGAGACTACCTACATGCCACCAATTTCATTTTGCTGCTGAAATTCTGAATTTCTTAGAATTAGAAAATGCATCTGAGAAACATAAATTACTTTTTCTTCATTTTGCTGTCTCAATAAACCTTTTTAGATTTGCAGCCTTCAGGGAATAATATTTAACCGCATATTCTAGAATTTGGGGGGGGGGAGAGGGAAGATGCCATTTAAAAAATTAGATTTTGAGATGTTTGCTGTGTTTTCAAAGAGGGTGGTGGGTTGTTTTTTTTTGTTTGTTTTGTTTGTTTGTTTGTTTTTTCTGTTTTTTGGGTTTTTTTGGGGGGGGGTACCTTAGAATGGTCACATTCCCATTAAACCTAAGATAAGTGCATTGTCATCATGGAGACTGGAGGGACAATATTCAAAACTGATGTTTCTCCCCCCTTTCTTATTTTAAATCAAGGCCAGTCCTTTTAGTAGGATTATACCTATACCCTGTAAATCCTTCCCCTTTGGAGGTGGGGGAGTGGAGGAAGGGGAAAATTTCAGAAGTTAGTTTTTTTTGCCTTTCCCATAACTCAGAACCTCCTACAGAGTCTTTATTCACACTTTCAATTGACTTTGATTATTGACCAGGAATATAAACTGGCATTCCTACAGGGGAAGAAACTGGAAAATTATTAGCCTATATAAATAAAAGGTGAATAGAACTCTTGTAATATTAAACTGCTGTTGTAATTCAAGGAGTCACTACAAGTGACCCTCTCCTTCGCCCTTCAGAATTCTATTTACTGCAAATTATATCCCTAAAATGTCAACCATCCTCTTATTTCTACGAGCAGAGTGCAGTAGTCAGGCACCGAGACAAAGTACTGGATTTAATTATACTGATACACAGAAAATAGCTTCAGGCAGTGCTAGATGCTGCTCCAAGGCACACAGGCACTGCTGACACCAACAAGACAGCACAAATATATCCAAGGCTATATGGATTGGCAGCTGAACTGAACCGAAACTCCAGTTATGGGCTTTTTTTTTTCCTCCTTCTTTTGAAAGCTAAGCAAAAATATATGAGAAATTACTGACTAGAACACAAACACAGATACAAATTTCAGCATCATCTGCAGAAGTAGCTGTTTTTTAGGTGGGCACAGTCATAAACTATATAAAAGATATTTACATACATACATAGTTAAATGACACTGGCCACTGCATTAACTATTTTACCACTGCCATCCTACACTAAATTTTCCAACAAGTTAGCTTATAATAATGCTGATAGATGAAGATGACACGTATGGCCTGAAAAGAAACATATTTTTTAAATGGACAGCCGTAGCTAGTTACCACATGAAGCATATTCAGTTTAACTGTACCTTCCATTCAATTACATTTAATATCCTTGAATCGGTATTTTACAACTCCTACCTGCCATCATGGATATTGGTGGGTTTGGTTTTTTTTTTTCCTACATAGTCTAAAAATCAGGAAAAATAGTTCCCAGTATGACATTTTAAACTTTCAACATACAAAATTAATTTACAAAGCTATATATATACTCAACAACCTCAAAGCTTGCCTTTGTCGTAGTCTAGTTAAGTTTATTTCAAGCATCCTTGAGCACCTCTCCTGGTCTTTTGAGCTGTATCTGTTATGTGCCTCACTCATCCAGGCACCTCAACATCCCCTTGGGATCAAAGCTCAATATTTAGTCCTTACAATCCAGCTGTTTAACACTGGACTACCCAGTTTTCCAGCCACACTAACCTGTTGTTAAGGGGGCTACTGATGAGGAAACTTAAAACACTGCACTGGGCTACAAATTTAAGGTACAGTTCTACTGAGAAATTACTTCTGCCTGAAATGTTAGTATGTCACAAGA